ATTCCAGACCAGAGTTTGGGGCCACTTGTCTCTGGATGCTACTTGTGCACAGCTCTGCTCTTCTGACAGGGGGGTACAGTGAGGTTGGGGTTGGTCTCTTCTCCCAAGAAACAGGGACAGTACAAGAGGGAATGGCCTCAAGCTCTGCCAGGGGAGCTGCACGTTGGATATCAGGAAAATCCCTTCACTGAAAGGTGGTCAGGCACTGTAGAGAGGCTGCCCAGGGCAGTGGTGGAGATCCTATCCCTGAAAGAACCTAAAAGCCATGTAGATGTGGCACTTGGGGACATGGCTGTGGAGTGACCTTAGCAGTGCTGCTCTTGTGGCTGGACTTGATGATCTGAGAGTTCTTTTCTCTCGGGTTGCTGTTGATAATTGCTGCCCCAAGATGTGCAGGATCTGCTTCGGCCCGTGCAACGGAAGAATGAGTCTGAACTCTTCAGTCTTGAGGTTGTTTATTAATTCTTATCTATAAAATTTTCTTTCTGCCCAGCCGAGATCTGCTCAGCAGGGCAGCCACAGGCACTCTGTGTTGTCCTTTTATACTACAAACTACATATAACATATTTACACTTAATTCCCAATACCTATCACCTATGTTAGACAGTGCTTCTACTCCTACTCTAAACCAATCCCAAAGTGCCAACAGCACTGCAGAAAATGGAGAAGAGGAAGAAGAAAGGCTGGACACGCCCAAGTTCCTCCATCTTGTCCCCATAACCCCCATACCAAAAATCCTAAAATCTACATTGTCACCCTGTGATCATTTTATTATTACACTGTTTAAACCTGTGTGACTTTCAGATCCTCATACAAAGCTGGTAACTTGCTCCAAGGGTCAAAATCACATCTCCAGGTGTTTTGGGCAGCATGCCAGGGTCTCCAAGCCCCCTGACAGGGTCCTCGGCAGCTCTGGACATCCAAAGGGATGCATGAGTTCCAACACTTTTCCCAACTGAGCAATTCCATGGTTCTGCAGGGCTGTGCTTGGAAACCCTGCTCTGAATCCCAGGGGAGCTGCCCAGCCCTGGGAGCGGGAGCTGCCCTTGCCCCCTGGCCCGGCCCTGGCACTGCCCCGCTAACGCCGCGTCTCTCCCCAGCCTCCACGCTCTCCCAGCTGTCGGACAGCGGGCAGACCCTCAGCGAGGACAGCGGGGTGGACATCGGGGAGGTGGAGACGAGCGGCAAGGACAGGAGCCGGCAGCCAGGCCCCGGCAAGAGCCGCAGCCCCAAGGAGGCCACCAGGAGCGAGGGGGCGGCAGAAGGGGCCTCCAAGCCGGTGAGGGGGGCCTGGGGTGCTGCTCTGTGTGGGAGGGGGCACCACTGCCTTGGCCAGCCCGTTCCACTCCCTCTGCCCACAGGCAGCAGCCACTGGTCCATGCACAGCTGGGGTGTTTCTCCTCTCTGCTGCAGGCAGTCAGTTCTGTGGGGGGCTGAGCTGTGGGGAAAGGGGTCAGGAGTGGCTGAGAGGGGCACTGTGGGGCTGATTCACTCTGTCCTGGATAAATCCCATCCCTGCCAGCTCCAGCCAGCAGCTACCTGGGGCCTGGGGGAATTCCCGGCTGTAAATGGACATCCACAAGCTGCATGAATGAAGTCACCTGTCACCCAAAGGGAAGGTGGCAGCGGGTGTCAGACATAACTCAGAGGGTTTCTGGTGATGGTGAGGCTGAGGGACACGAGCAGGCAGGCAGGCAGAGAGCTGCTCTGCTCCTTCCCAAACCCCTCCAGAGCTGCCCAGAGTTGGGATTTTAGATCAGGAGTCAGAAAGCAGCTGCAGGGCTGTGTCTGTCCCTCTGTGGTGGCAGCAGCTTGTCCCTGCCTGCTGTGGGGCCCTGGCCAAGGGAGCATGGCTGGCACACAGTGTCCAGGCCCCCTTGGCAGTGCTGCCATCTGTCCCCACAGCCAGGGCTCCTGGAGCCCACGTCGTGTCTGATCCGGGTGTCCAAGAGCGCTCCCACCTTGGGCATCGCCATCGAGGGCGGCGCCAACACGCGGCAGCCGCTGCCCCGCATCGTCACTATCCAGGTAGGGCAGCTGGGAGGGGACAGCTCCGTGCACATCCCATCCCAGGAAAAAGAAGTGGAGGTGAGGGAGCAGTGTGCAGGGCCTCAAGGGTCCCTCAGAGATGGAGAGGGAGGAGGGGTCCCAGGGGGTCCCGGGATCGCTTGGAGATGGAGAGAAAAGTAGGATTAAGAGGGGGTCCATCCCATCCCATCCCATCCCATCCCATCCCATCCCATCCCATTCCATCCCATTCCATGGATCCCGTCCCATCCCATCCCTCGCCTCCCTGGGTAGGCTGAGGAAAGCCCTGGAGGTGTGGCCAGTGGGATTTTGGAGGTTTGTCCAGCCCTGCAGCTCCCCAGGCACCGTTCTGCCATGCTGAGGATGGTGTCTGTGTCCCGTGGATGATCCCATCCCAGAACACACCTCCTGTGTGGGAGCCAGCTGTGTGCTCCAGACATCTCTGAGGGGATCAGGGCAGCCCTGAAAGCTTGGCTGCTGTCTCCAGATGTCTGGAAACTGCCAGACAGGGGATTGAGGAGGGGGAATGGTGGATGGGAGCCAGGGGACTGAGCCCTCTGGAGCTGTCTCCCTGTTTACTTGGGGCAAAATTCAAGTTATTTACAGCAAAAAAAAGCAGAGCCGACTCTGCCTTGGTTATTCTTGGCCATCCCAGCTGGCGTCACGCTCCAGGATCAAGCAGGGGGGAAGCCAAATTCATCCCCTCTCTCCAAAAAGTGAAATATTTCACATCCATCACGTCAGATATGAAATACCTCCCAATTTTTTCCCCCTGCTTGATGCAGGGAGTGGTGGGATCTCAGGCTGCTGTTGATAATTGCAGCCCCGAGATGTGCAGGGTGTCTCTGTTTCAGCCTGTGCAACTGAAGAACGAGTCTGGACTCTTCACTTTTTGGTCTTGAGGTTGTTTATTAATTCTTATCTATAAAATTTTATTTCTGCCCAGCCGAGATCTGCTCAGCAGGGCAGCCACAGGCACTCTGTGTTGTCCTTTTATACTACAAACTACCTATAACATATTTACACTGAATTCCCAATACCCATCACCTGTGTTAGACAGTGCACTTCTACTCTAAACCAATCCCAAAGTGCCAACATCACTGCAGAAAATGGAGAACAAGAAGAAGAAGAAGAAAGGCTGGGCATGCCCTGATTCCCCCATCTTGTCCCCATAACCCCCATACCAAAAACCCTAAAATCTACATTTTCACCCTGTGATAATTTTATTATTACACCATCCAAACCTGTGTGACTTTCATGTCCTCATACAAAGCTGGTAACTTGCTCCAGGGGTCAAAATCAGATCTCCAGGTGTTCTGGGCTGCGTGCCAGGGTCTCTGAGCCCCCTGACGGGGTCCTCAGCAACTCTGGACACCCAAAGGGATCTGCTGAGTTCCAACAGTGGGAGTGTGGTCTGACCCCTCTGTGTCCTGCAGCGGGGTGGCTCAGCACACAACTGCAGGAAGCTGAAGGTGGGACATATCATTTTTTCCCCCTGAGAAAGGTGGGATGCAGTTTTTCCCCCCTGCTTGATGCTGATCTGACCCCTCTGTGTCCTGCAGCGGGGTGGCTCGGCACACAACTGCGGGAAGCTGAAGGTGGGACACGTCATCCTGGAGGTGAACGGCACGGGGCTGCGGGGCAAGGAGCACCGCGAGGCCGCCCGCATCATCGCCGAGGCCTTCAAGCTGAAGGAGAAGGACTACATCGACTTCTTGGTCACAGAGTTCAACGTGGCCCTTTAGGGGCAGGGTTTTTACAGCGCTGGGATGGGGATGGAGGATGGCAGCGAGGTGGGACAGCGGCGTCCCACGGCCCCGCACGCGCGCACACACAACCCCGGCTTGTCCCCAAATGTCCCCACGCCCTCCGCAGGCTCACTGCCTGCCTAGGGCACATCCCTTCAAGTTTCCATCCCTGACCTCTCTGGGGTAGGGAATGTCGTCTCCCCCTCGGCCAGGCTGGGAGCGGGGCAGGAGGACAGCTCGGTCTGGGTGTCCCCGCTGTCATTTGAGTGCCACACACAGAGCAAGGTGGGCCCGTGGCTCAGGCTGCAGGGAGTTTCGGGGCGTTGCTGCTCCTTTGGGTGGTCCCCAAGGTGCCCGGGTGGGTGGTGCCAGCCACGGGTGGGGATGCAGAGAGAGCAACTGGAGGCCTTGTAAATCGCTGGCAATGTTGTTGTATTTATATATACAGAGCTTGTGCTTTTAATTTTTCAATAAATCTATCAGGGTAGAAAAAAGGCTGCGCTTGGGGGGTGCTTTGGGGCTGGTATGAGGGGGTAGGAAGGGGAAGGGATGATAGGATATTTTCCTTGTTATCCTGGGAGCTTCCCAGGGCTGGCAGGGTGGGTGGGTTGCAGTGGTGGTGGTGGTGAGGGGATGCTCTATGTCAGCCCCATCTCATCCTCGACCCATCCAGTCCTTATTCCCATCCTATCCCATGCCCAGTCCTATCCCCATTTCATTCCATCCCATCTCATTATTTCCCATCTCAATCTCTCCTCATTCCCACCCCATTCCTTTTCCATTCTTATCTCAATCCCTGCCAAGGATCTCTGGGATTGGCCATCCCATGGACCCCTTCCCTTCCCTTCCCTTCCCTTCCCTTCCCTTCCCTTCCCTTCCCTTCCCTTCCCTTCCCATCCAATCCCAATCCCAATCCCGGGAATGGGCAGCGCCCCGCCAGGGGGTGCCCGCGCTGCATAAATTATGCCAATGAGGTTCCCTCAACAGCGGCTCTGATTGGTCGCCAGCGGCGGGATATGCAAATAAAAGAGGGGCGGGGTTTATGCTGACGACCTCTCGCTCGGCGCGCGGATTGGCGGAGTGCGGCGGGTATGCTAATAGGGGAGGCCACGCCCCCTAGCGCCGCGGGCCGCGCTTTTGTCCGGCGGGGCCGGGCCGGATCGGGACAAGGGCTGGGACCAGGACCAGGACCGGGATCAGAACCGGGATCGGGATCGGGACCGGGACCGGGACCAGAGCCGCCCAGCCCCGGCCGAGGAGCCGCCGGCCGGGCCCTCCCTACAGGTGGGCAGCGCGGGGTGAGGGCGCCGCTCCAGCGGTGCCCGCGGGCCAGATGTGCCCCAGCTGTGCCCGGGGTGGCCGGGAATGGCTGGGCTGCTCCCTGCAGCCTCTACTGCAGCTGGAAAGAAGGAGATAGCCCCCGGGGCTCCGCTGGAGCCACAACTGGAGGCACAGCTGGAGGCGCAGCCCGCGGGCCCCATCTCGGGGCCGCATCCAGAGCTCCCGGCTCTGCTGAGCCCGGCTTTGCTGAGCCCGGCTCGGCAGGGCTGGCTGAGATCCCTGGGCGGGGCGGGGACACCCCCAGCCCCGGCAGGGTCCCAGCTTGGCCGAGGCCATGGGACACACTGGGAGGATGCGGGACACGGCGGGAGGATGCGGGACACGCCGCTCCTGACCGAGGCGTATCCTCCCCACGCCATCGCAGCCCCCGTGGCCCCGAGGAAACTTGTCAGAACTTTTCTTCTGCCGGTGCCTCCTCCCCGCCGGGGCCGGAGGATTCCGGCAGAGTTTCGTCAGGGGCTGCGGAGGCGGCTCGGAGGCTCGGCCGGGGCTCTCGGAGGCTGCGGGGCCGGGAGCTGCCGCCGGCTCCTCCGGAGAAGTCTCCGGGGCAGGTTCAGCTTCAGTTCCGTGTTTTATTTAAAGGGCAGCCGTGCTCATGGCAGCCGCCGCTGCCCCAGGGTGTCGCGGGTGTCCCGTGCTCGGCCGCAGCCGCTCGGTGCCTTCCGGGCACGGCTGAAATCGCTTCTTAAAGTTCAAGGGCAGGCGGGGAGCGCGGCAGGGCAGGCGCTGCCCGTAAGGGCTGGGAGAGATGCGGATGAAAAAGCTCCAGGGAGAGCTCAGGGCTACTCCCAGTGCTTAAAGGGGTTCCAAGAGAGCTGGAGAGGACAAGGGATGGAGGGACGGGACGCAGGGAATGGCTTCAAACTGACAAAGAGAAGGGCTGGGTGGGATATAGGGGATAAATTCTTTGCTGTGGGAGGTTGAGGCCATGGCTCAGGGAAGCTGGAGCTGGTTCAGCCCAGCACAATCTCCCGGCCGTGTCCCCGCTGCCTCTCTGCCCTGTGCTAAGAAGGGATCTCCGTGGCACCGGCTGTGGTGGGGACAGCGGCAGCGCTCTCCAGACGGGGATTAAGGCTGTCTGTCCTCCAGATCGGGAATTACGGCCATCCGCCCCCGGCCCTGCGGGGATGCAGCCCTGGGGTGCACCCGGCGTGTCCCCAGCCAGGACAGGAGGGTCCCTGTGCCAGGGAGGAGGGAGGAAAGAAGAGTTCTCTGTCTTGTTATGGGGCTTTGCTTCGGTGCAAGTGATGGAAAAATGACATTTCCGTGGTGTTTTGGTGCCTCTCCCTATGGGGGTTCCTCCAGCCTCTGGAACTGGGGTGACACGTGGGCTGTGCAGTGATGGTGACAGGCGTGTGCTGTCAGAGGACCAGGGAGGTTTGTCAGGCTCTTCCTCGCTGTGATGGTCCCTCCCTCGTTCTAGTAGGAAATAATGCAAACTGAGAGCGCAGCATTTCCGCTTCTCTGCCCTCTTTCATGGCTATTAAAACGGGGCTCTGTGGGCTTTAAAAAAGGGTTTATACACCAGGAATTTCTCCCTCCTGGAGCGCAGACATGCCTTGCCAAGTTTCAGCCCGAGGCCGTTCTGGCCTCCTTCAAACCTCTGTAAAAGAGATGCAAAACATCCATCCCTTGTCTGGGACGGGGGTTAAGCTCCCCCTGCATCCCAGATGGGCGCAGATGTGCAGGAGGGGCTTTAACCCATCCCAGGCAAAGGATTTTGGGATACAGAGCAGGAGGGTAATTCCACATCACTCAGAGAATGTGGGGATGGAGCTGCGGGGTTTAGAGCCCCCCCATCCCCCCTGCTCTGCCCGGGGCTGACAGGGCAGTGAAGGCAGAGTGACAGCAGCCCTGTCCCCCCCTCGCTGTCACCGAGCGAGCCCTGGGGCGGAGGATGCTCCTGTCTCCTCTGCTGTCAGCCCTGATAAACCCAGGAGCCACGATGGCTCCGTGCTGGCCTGGGTGGCTGCGGCTTCCCTGCGCACGGGAATGAGCTGGGCGGGATCAGCCTCGCACCTCGGTCATTGCCTGGGGCAGGGATGGGATGGGATGGGATGGGATGGGATGGGATGGGATGGGATCAGGGCAGGGAGTGGGACAGGGATGAGATCCATGGGATGGGATGGGATGGGATGGGATGGGATGGGATGGGGCAGGGAATGGGGCAGGGATGGGATGGGATGGGATGGGATGGGATGGGATGGGATCAGGGCAGGGAGTGGGACAGGGATGAGATCCATGGGATGGGATGGGATGGGATGGGATGGGATGGGATGGGATGGGGCAGGGAATGGGGCAGGGATGGGATCAGGGCAGGGAGTGGGACAGAAATGGGATTGGGGCAGGGATGGGATGGGGGCAGGGAGTGGGAAGGGATGGGACGGGGCCGGGATGGGATCAGGGATGGGATCCAGGCAGAGAATGGGACAGGGATGGGATGGGATGGGACAGGGATAAGATTGGGACAGGGATGGGATGGGATGGGATGGGATGGGATGGGACAGGGATAAGATTGGGACAGGGATGGGATGGGATGGGATGGGATGGGATGGGACAGGGATAGGATTGGGACAGGATAGGATCAGGGATGGGATCCAGGCAGGGAGTGGGACAGGGATGGGATTGGGGCAGGCATGGGATTGGGGCAGGGAGTGGAACAGGGATGGGATGGGGCAGGGATAGGATTGGGACAGGGATGGGATCAGGGATGGGATCCATGCAGGGAATGGGACAGGGATGCGATGGGGCAGGGAGTGGGACAGGGATGGGATTGCTGCCCGCAGAAAGGATCAGGGGTTTGGAAGGACAGACAGAGACCCGGCAGCATCCCCCCCCCCATCTGAGCCCCTCTGCCCTGAGCCACAATTTGGGACAGCCCTGGCTGGGATTTGTAGGGCAGGAGAGGATTTGAGGGGCTGGGGCAGAGCAGAGTTCAGGGTGTTTAGCTGAGGCTTTTAATTTTCCTTTTAGTTTTTTTTTTTCCCAGTTGCCTGTTGCAAAAATCCTGGCTTTCAAAGAGGAAAATTAAAATATATGTATATATTTCTGCACACATTTGGGATTGTTTCTGTTTGATTTGTGGCTGCTGAGCACGAAGCCACATCATTTTTCAAGCTTTTCTGTGCTCCCATAACAGGGAGAAAATCACTTAGAGGGGGGAAAAGAATCCGAAATTTGTTGCTCTTGCCACCATGACCATCAGCAGAGGGATTTTCTGGGAAAGCAATAACTGTGGCTGGGTTTGGACTGCTGTGGGCTGTGCATGTGGGAATCGCTGCTCAGAAATGGGATGACAACATTTGGATTAGGCATGGCCTCCTTCAAGAGATGCAAAATCCCCATTAAAGAGGTTAAAGAAACACCAGAAATGGGTTGGGAATGTTTTAAATCCCTTTATCCCAAGAGAACAGGACCCCCAGGTGATGGGGGTTTTTTTGAGTTAGGTTTTATGTGCTCTTAGAGAATTTATTACACTTGAGATAGCTTTGTTACTTTAATGGTATAAAATTAGTAGGATGGTTTTTGAGGTAGTGCTGGAAACAGAAAAAGTTTTAATAAAAAGCAAAATAATAAAGCTCTTATAGAGAAAAACTGAGTTAGGAGTAAGAGGGTTTTGGTTTTGGTAAAACACTCCACAAAAGTGATTTTTTTCCTTTGTTCTCTTCTTTTTTTTTAGTGAATTACTTAGGTGGGACTTTTTGGCCTTTGTCTAATTGGGCAGCTCCAGGTTTGAGGTGAAGTCCTAAAGGTCTTGTGAGGTGTCTTTTTACCCAGTTGGGGAGAGAAACTTTTGGGCTTTTTGCCTTTTTAAGGAGGCAAAGAGTAATTTGATCACTCCGTCAATAGAAAACACATTCCTATACCCAGGCTACTTTCACCCAGCACTCTCCTGTGGGAACCCTGAGTGTGGTTTTTGGGGTTCCTCATGGCTCTGGGATCCTGCAGGGCTCCAGGTGGGATGGGAGGCACTCAGTGGGGATCTCTGGGATGTGTGTAAGGAAACATCCCAGCCCAGGGAGGAGCTAAAGCCAAAATCCCAATTTGGTTTCAGTACCTCAGGGTCTGAAGTATCCCATCTCCCCCGGTGGCAGGAGAAGCTGTGGAGCATCTCCAGGTGTGGAGAATGGAGTTATCCACTCAGTGTGGGGGGAGAACCTCATGCAAAGCCCCCAGGAGGTTTGCAGGACCCTAAGGGATGCTTTGGGGTTTGCTCCTGCTCGAAATGCCCCAAGGATGCAGGCAGGGCTGGGAGCAAGGCTGGTGCAAGGATAATACCCTTGGTGGCAGGCAGGGCTGGAAAATAACCTCAAACCCCACAAACACCCAAAGAATTTGCAGAACTGAGGCTTGGGAGGGGATCAGAGGACTTTTCCCAGAGCATGTGGGTGCTGTGGGTAGGTTTAGTCCTCATCACCCCCATCCCTGAGCCAGCAGCACCCCAAAATCACCACAGCACCCTCTGGCTAAGAGCAGCCACCCCAGGGATCATGCTGTGGTTTCATTAGCTTGTCAAGCTGTCCTCTGCGTGCCACTAATTACACATTAACGAGCTGGCTTAATTGGCTGCCTGTGAGTGTGCCAAGACAGGCCACAGTGGCTGGGTGCAGCCCCAGCATCCCTGGGAGTGTGAGCAGCATCCCAGGATGGGGCCAGCTGCACTCTCCCTTTGGAAATCTGGGGGAATTTCCAACGATGGCTGAATTTTGGGGCTTTAAAGCTCAATTTTAGGTCTCCTGGAAGATCCTTGTGCTGATGTTTTATGGACCAGCTGCTGATGGTCCCAGGGATCTCCCTCCCCTCTCTTCCTACAGCATTTTGCTCTGAACTGGATTAAAAATAAAGGTTTTGATTAAAAATGCTGAGGGAGGAGGGTTCAGCCCCCACTGCGCAGGGCCGGATGGGGTTAAAACTTTGTGGCCACCTGCAAACTTGCAGGAAACATCATTTCCTCCTTCTGCAAAAGCTGGGCTGCCCCACAGGCACAGGAAGGTTTCAGGGGGCCAGGTTTTCATGGGGTCACGGTGATATGGGGATGTCCTGAGGCTGCTGGTACAGAGTGAGTGTCCCTGCATGGGGCTGGAGGTGCCTGGTTTGACCCCCCAGGCCAAAATTTGGGTTTATGGGGCTCCAGTCCAGCAGAGGGGTTGGAAACCCCGTGGCCTTTCTTGCCACACTCCACATTTGGGGTTTTGGCATCCGGCTGCTGGCGGAAACCCCATGTGGGGTGAGGGGAGAGCTCATGCTTTGGAATCATGAGGGGAATTTGTGTCTCTGCTGTGACCCCACATCCCGAGGGCTCTTTGGGGTGCTCCTGCTGGTGGTCCCCAGGGTGTGGCTGCCCAGCTGGGGTGACATCCACAGGGTGCCAGCATGGGCTGGGTGTTCCTAGGGAGGGGGACAAACCTTTTGAGGTGGCTCTGAGGGGCTCCTTCCCCACGAGGACCTCAGTGCTGGCAGAGATGTGGCAGCTCCAGCTTCGGGGTGGGATGCACAGTGGGGGGGTCTGATCCGAGGGTGTCCGATGTCCCCCCGTCATCGAGGGTTTCTCTTGTCCTCAGGATTTGGGGGACAGGGAAGACCCTCCCAACGTGGGGGACAAACCTTTTGGGGTGGCCCTGAGGGGCTCCTTCCCCACGAGGACCTCAGTGCTGGCAGAGATGTGGCAGCTCCAGCTTCGGGGTGGGATGCACAGTGGGAGGGTCTGATCCGAGGGTGTCCGATGTCCCCCCGTCATCGAGAGTTGTTCCTGTCCCTGGGATTTGGGGGACAGGGAAGACCCTCCCAACGTGGGGGACAAACCTTTTTGGGGGTGACTCTGAGGGGCTCCTTCCCCACAAGGACCTCAGTGCTGGCAGAGATACAGCAGCTCCAGCTTCAGAGTGGGATGCACAGTGGGGGGATCTGATCCGAGTTGTCCCCCCCTCCTGTCATTTATAAGGAGCCCCCCCCGAGGGTTGCTCTTGTCCTGGGATTTGGGGGACAGGGAAGACACCTCAAACAGAGCCCACCATGTCCCGCTGAGCATCCCCCCCTCTCCCCCGGCCCCCCCAGGACGCGGCGGCGATGCTGTGACCTACATTCGCGACAAGGAGGTCCCCAGCCCGCCGCCACCGCCGCCGGGCCATGAAGCGACACAAGTGAGGGGCCATGGCCAGCCCGGCACCATGGCTGCGCTGGACGCAAACAGAGCTGACGCGCTGGCACGGCAAGGAGCAGGAGGAGGAGGAGGAGGAGGAAGACGACTTTGAAAGGCGGATGGACGAGGATGGGGTCATCGGCCTGGGGGAGGGCGCCAGGAGCCCCCCGTGGGGTGAGTCCTGCCCACAAGGGGTGGTCCCGAATGTCGCCGGAGCCGCTGGAGCGGGGGACGCGGGCCGGGTGTGGGTGGTGACAGCCCCGCCGTGCCGCTGTTTTGCAGGTGGCAGCGAGGGGCTGCAGGAGGGGTCCCCGGCACAGGAGGGGCGATGGCAGCCGCGGCAGGAGCCGGCCGAGGAGGAGGAGGAGCGGGGCAGCTCCGGGGGGGACGAGGGGCCCTGGGGGGCGGAGAGCGATGGGGACCCCTACCCCGAGCTGTCCTCGGGGGGCTGCTGGGGCTCGGGCTCCAGCGGCAGCCCCGAGGCCATGAGGGACCGCCGGGCTCTGTGCCAGCCGCGGGGCTGCAGCACGGACGGCGGGGACACCTCAGGGCTCTCGGACACCAGCCCTGGCCCCGGCACCCCGTCCCGCCAGCTCCGGGGCTGGGGCACGGCCGCGGACACCCTCGGGGGGCACAGGCAGGAGTGGAGCCCCAGACGGAGCCTCCCCCTGCAGCTCTCCCCCGATGGCCCCGAGCGTGTCCCCGAGCCCCAGAGAGCTGGCACAGGGATGGCACCTGCTGGCGTGTCACCCACCGGCCAGCCCCACGGCACCGGGAATGCCCCGGCACCCCAAGGGCACTGCAGATCCCGAGTGCCCAAGAAAGCAGCGCCCGCCGCGGTGCCCCCCAAGGCCGCCCGGCAGTCGCGGTCCCTGAGCCCCCGGAGGCGAACGGGTGCCAAGGGGACAAAGGATCCCTCGGGAACGGGCACCGAGGGCACCCAGTACGGCCGAGGGCGCCTCAACCACCCCCTGCCCGACCTGTCCAAGGTGGAGGCGCGGGTGAAGTTCGACCAGAGCTACCGCCCGCCCCGGGGCCGGGTGCTGCCCGCCCGCCCCCGCGGCCCCGTCGGCTTCAAATCCCCGGCCGAGATCGTCCGGGAGGTGCTGCTGAGCAGCGGGGAGGGGGCGTCCCCGCAGCCCCCCAGCACGGCCGGGCTGCCGCAGGAGTTCAGGTCCCCCAGACAAGCTACGGCGCTGGTGCAGCAGCTCCAGGTAATGCCCGGCTCCCCCCGTACAGCCACACTGGGAGGGTCTGCAGGGTGGGGGGACATGGGGGTGTCACTGCCTCTGGGACCCTCATGGGGTGTGGTGCTGGTCACGCCTTCCTCGTCCTGCATGGAGCTGGCGAGGAGGGAAGGAGCAGGGATGTGGGCAGTGCTCAGCCTGGGGACAGGATGCTCTCGTCCCCTCGGGATGGCGGTCACCCCCACGGAGCTTGTGACCCTCAGGATGTTTGTCCCCCTGGGAGGAGAGGGGGCAGAGAAACGGGGGTCACATCTGCACAGAGGGGTCGGATGTTTGGGAGAGGGATTTTCTGCACCCCACCCATGGGACTCCCCACCCCGTGCCGGGTGCTGTCCCCCACTGGTGTCCCCTCCCCGCAGGACGACTACCACAAGCTGCTGACCAAGTACGCCGAGGCTGAGAACACCATCGACCAGCTGCGCCTGGGCGCCAGGGTGGGTGGGGGCTCAGGATGCCTGGGGGCTTCCCCTCTTTGTTCCCCATCCCCTGAGGTTGAGTTGTGCCTTCCTCTTCCTCCTCCCGGGGAGCTGCGGTTGAGCGATCCCAGCCCAGGGAGGGGGGTTGAGGCCACGGCAGAGCCCACAGCAGCCCGGGGAGCTCCGTGCCCATCTTGCCTGGCGGGGTCCCCTCTGTGCCAGGCGGTGGCAGAGCTGGATTGTCCCCGGAATGGCGGGGAACGTCTCTGAGATGGCAGGAAGTGTGTCCCCGTGTCACCTCTGCCACGGCGTGGGTGGGGAAACTGAGGCAGGGCTGTGCCAACCGCCCCCCTCACGCGTGTCCCCACCTTCACCGCACCCACTGCCATGCCCATGGGGCGCTTCGGGGTGCCCCGGGGCACGGTGGGTGGGTCGGGGTGCAGGCTGACTGCCCAAACCCGCTCTCCCTGCCCAGGTGAGCCTGTTCTCCGACCCGCCGCAGCCCAGCCGCAGCCTCGCCGTGGGCACCGTGAGCACGGGGAGCCGAGTGATGACCCTGAGCATCCCGCAGGCACGGACAGCAGCTCTGGGCATGGCCACAGCCCCAGCCACAGCCCCAGCCACAGCGCCAGCCTCGCCTGCTACAGGTGTGTTCATCTGTATCCCACAGCCCCACACTTCACAGGTGTGTTGATCCACATCCCACAGCCCCACACCTCACAGCTGTGTTGATCCACATCCCACAGCCCCACACCTTGCAGGGGTGTTGATCCATATCAACATCCCACAGCCCCACACCTCGCAGGTGTGTTGATCCGTGTCCCCTGCCCCACTCACTGCCTTCCCACTCCAGTTCTGGGAGGATTGTCCCCCACAGCCCCTTCCCCACTCCGGTGTCACCACTGCTGCGGTGTCACTTGTCCTCGTGTTTTCTCACAGCTGCAGCCCCGGGACTGTCAGAGCGGGGGGGTTCACCGCAGCCTCGGTCCCCTCCTCCACCCGGGGGGTGCTGCTCCACCTGCCCCGGGCCCTGCTGCTGCCCTGGCCCGCGGCTCACCCGGGCCCTGGCGGGGCAGAGCCGCCGGCTGCAGGCACAGGTGAGGACTGGGGGGCTGCTGGGGGGCTGGGAGAGGTGCAGGAACAGGGAGCTGTAGAGGGGGATACTAGGGAGGCTGCATGGAGAGGGGGATACTAGGGAGGCTGCATGGAGAGGGGGATACTAGGGAGGCTGCATGGAGAAGGGCTTTTGGGGAGTGCTGGTGGGGGCTGTGGGGCAGCAGGGAGGGGATTTGGGGGGAGTTCTGGGGGGGGACTATGGAGATAGGCTGGGGAGGCGCTGCTGGGGGCAGCTGCGGAGGGGGTCTGGATGGGAGGGGTTGGGAGAAATGCTGTGGGGAAGAGGGAGTGTTGTGGGGTGCTGGGAAGGGAAGGGAAAGGAAGAAGGAAGGAAGGAGAGAGAGGGGGCTGCAGTGGGGAATTGCACTGAAGCACCCCTGGAGATGTTTCATATGGGGGGTCTAGGGGGTGCGGGGGGGGGCACAGCAGGGCCAGGCTCAGCCTGTCCAACCCCGGCCAGGTGGAATCCTTCGAAAGCTGGGTGCATGCAGGGACCCCCACGCCCTCAGAACAGCTCCAGGTGCGTCAGCCCCTTCCCAGACAGCCTGGGGGCACGGGGGGTGCCCAGGGCCCATTGGACAGGCTCGGACCGCGCTCTTGTGCCGCAGAGGATGAGGATGCTGAAGGACGCGCAGGATGCGCTGGAGCGGGAATACCTGCGGGGCCGGCAGCAGCTCCCGGCGGCTGCGAGAGGGTTTGATCCTGACCGGTACGGGATCCCCTGCCACCCCCTCCCCGGAATGTCCCCGGGGGTCTCTGTCCCCCCAGAGCCCCCGGAGAGTCCTCGGTGGTTGTGGCACCCCGCACTGATGGCTGGTGTCTTGCAGGGCAGTGGAGGGGGAGATTTACCGCCTGGGGCTGCGCCTGGAGGGGCTGAGGGAGCGGCTGGAGCCGGGGGGCAGGCGGCAGTCCCTCCCTCAGCCCCTCCCGCAGCCCCCCCTGCAGCCCCACTGTCCCCAAGCCCCATCCCCACCACCAGCTGACCATTCCCCACGCCCCGAGGTGAGCTGGGGGTGCAAAGGTTCCCCACCCCTCTGCATTTATGGGGGTTGCCCCCCTCACCCCCTTGTGCTGTGCCCACAGAGCCCTGCGCTGGTGGAGGATCCCCGGGGGACAGCAGGGGACAGCGAGGGGGTGGCAGGGGGGCTGCCCTGGCCCCTCTGGCACAAGCAGCGCCAAGTGGAGGAGGATTTTGGCGACCTGCTGGAGCAGTGAGTGCCCTCACAGTGGGGCAGCGGGGACACAGGCACAGGGCATGTCCCCAAAGCCACCCGCTCCTGCCCATGTGTCCCCCCAGGTACAAGCACTTCAAGTCCTTGCCGGAGTCGCTGAGCCTGGAGCAGCTGAGCCTGGCGGGGAGCCAGTTCCAGGAGGAGGTGGATGCACCCACGGCAGGGGATGGTGGCCCCAGCAAGGTCCCCTGCAGGACACAGTCACTCGAGGAGGAGCCCAGCCTCGAGCCCTTGGCCTTGTAAGTGCTATGTGGGGCAGGGGTGAGCAGGAGGTTTGACATCAGGTCTCCAGTTTTATTTACCTTAGGGTTAACAGCCTCCATGGCACAGCTGGACAAGGACATTTCCCCACAGGACATTTCCCTGTGCCTGGGGTTGCTCGGCCCCATCATTCCCTCTCCATCCCCTCCCCACAGGCACCTCCCACAGAGAAGAGCTGCGACCCTTCCCCCCAGAGGACCCGCAAACCTGGAGGAGACACTGGGCCACCCCTCCCCTGCCCCTGCTGAGGAGCCACCAGCCTCTGCCAAGCCCCCCCTGGGGGTCCCTGGGCCACCACGGGTGTCCCTGTCCCTCGGTGGGACAGGCAGTGGTGCCACCCAGCCCGGGCCCCGCAAGGTGAGTCCCTGGGGCTGTGGATCCCCACCTGAGAGCCCCCCCAGAGCCCCCTGGGCTGCTGGGCACTGACTGCTGTCTCTGTCCCTCGGCAGGAGCAGCGCATTGTGTCCCCAGAGACCGACAGCGGCTTCGTGGGTTCGGAGGCCAGCAGGGTGTCACCCCCTGTGCACACCCCCGAGCACCATCCCCCCGGCCCAGGGTACGGCCCTGCCTGTGGGATTTGAGGGATTTGAGGAGCAGGGATGGCGGGAGAGGCACTGAAGGTGTGGGGAGCAGGGTTGGAGATGTGCAGATGATCTCTCAGTTCCTTCCAACCCAAGCTGCTATCCTGCAATTCAATGGTTCTGTCAGCTTTGCTGAGAATCATCTTATGGAATCAGTTTCCTGATACCTGAGCTAGCAACACTTTCTTCAGCTCGCACTGCAGGAAGCGTACTCTTTCTCACAGAGAGTGTGTTGCCGTGATGATGCTCTCGGGGTATAAAGAGAAGATAGTTTAAAAAGAGTAGCTCTTTTTTAAAAGACAAGCTCCCGTGGCCAGGGGGAGCCCTGGGGCTGCCTGTATGATCCATCCCTTCCGCAGGGCTCCGGGCTCGCTGGGACCCTCCGTCCCCATCCCCAGCAGCCTCCGCACCCCACGGGAGAGAGAGACCACCCCGCTCCCCTCCGAGACAGCACTGATGGGCATCTACCCCCCGAGGGGCACAGGGGGGCCCCCCAGCAGCCCCTCTGAGAGCAGCTCCCCCCCTCGCTGGGCTGAGGGCAGCGAGGTGGGACCCGACCCCGACGGTGATGGCAGTGAGTACACGGGACCTGGTGAGGGAGAGAGATCTGGGGGGCTCTGGCTCTGTGGCTCTGGTTTTTGGTGTTCCCAGACCTCCTTGTGGTGCTGGAGTCACCCTCCTTGGAGGGAGGTGTGTCCCAGTCTCTGCTCACTGTGCTGCCCTTGCTCCCCAGCTCACACGGACTCGGAGGTGGGAGCCAGGAGCTGTGCCAGCGCCGGTGCCCGCCCCCCAGCCATGGCCAGGAGCCCAACCAGCCCCCTGCCCTCCCCCCAAACCCCATCCCCCACCCTCCTGTCCCCCGACCTGCCGTCCCTGGACCCGGCTCACTGTGACCTGCTGGGCTCCCGTCTGGAGCGCGAGTGAGTGGCTGTGTCCCCAGACCCCCTGGGTGACACCGGGACCCCCCAAAGGCACCCACTGGGCACTGGACCCCAGCCCAGGCTTGGTTTGGGGAGGGTCCCAGCTGCTGGGTGCCGGTGGTGGGGATGGGGGCTCTGGAGGGGTGTGCTGATGCTCACCAGCACTGTTGGGGTCCCTGCTGGCTGCACCCCCTGACTGGGCCGTGTGTCCTGGGGCAGCCAGGCCATCCGGGCGCTGCAGGACGAGGTGTGGCGGCTGCGGCGGAGGCTGGAGGAGAGCCTGTGCCACTCCCGCAGCTACCCCGAGGGAAAAGCCACTCCCCGTGTCACCCCGGCCAGGAGGCAGCCGCTGGCCAGCGCACCATCGGCCCCGCAGGACGCGGCACCCTCGGGGTAGGTGGCAGGGGGGACCTGGGGGGTGCGGGGCAGCGTGGGGACACCCCCAGCCTCAGCCTGCCCCTATCCCCATCGAGGGGTTTGGCTTGAGGGGACTGCCAGCCTGGTGGGTGGAGGTGGTGACACTGGAGGTGGTGACAGTGGTGGTGGTGATAGTGGAGGCGGTGACAGCATTTCTGTCCCCTGTGCAGGCAGCCGAGCCCCCCGGTGCGGGGCAGGGCGGCCCCCGGGGTCACACCCATGCCGAGGGGGAGGTCGGCATCGCTGCCACGGGACAAGCCCGAGCTGGACCTCGGTAAGGGTGGTGGGGACAGAGGGGACACGCTCCTCCCTGCTGCCACTTGCCCTCCCCAGGATGTTGTGGGGCTGCAGGACTGTTGGGTCCCGGTGGTCCCACGGATCCCACCGTGCTCAGCCCAGGGTGGGTCCTGCAGGTCTGGAGCTGGGTCCCGGCGGATGCCACCCCCCTTCCCTGTCCTCTGCCACAGCCTCCGAGTCAGAGCCCGGGCCCCGGGCACCCCCCGCCCTGCGGAAGCACCTTGGGAAGCCCCCGGGGCCGGTGACATTCCTGGGACAGCACGCAGGTGGGTGCTGGTGGTGGTGGGGCTGAAGGTGGCCGTCCCCACCCTGGGGACCCTGGCCATGCTCACGCTGGGGTTTGGCAGGGACACGGTACCAGGCGGGGACACCACGTGCCACCCCAGCACCCCGAGAAGAGCCGGGCACCTCGGGGTGTCCCCGATGTCACAGGGGCAGGATGGCATCAGGTGAGTGGCCCACAGCCCCTTCCCTTCCCTACCACCCCTAACAGCTGCTAATGACCTTCATTAATTACCTGGAGAGGCTTAGGGAGGGGACAAACCCATTCCTCATGGCCTGAGGCTCTCCCCACTGTCCCTTGTCCAGACCCCACTGTCCCCCAGGGCGATGCCCTGACCTCGTGGGGGTCCTGCAGGGGTCAAGCCCCCCCTTGGCATCTATTTGTCTGTGCCTGTGTGGGCAGAAATACCTGGGATTCCCTGGGATTGCTGGGATTCCCTGGGCTTCCAGGTGTCACTGGCAGCACTGTCACCTGTCCCCAGCCCTGTCCCAGGTGCCAGTGCAGAGCCCACCTTTGCAGACTCCCCTTTCCCTCCAGGGAAAGCCCCCTCCCCATCTCATCAGCCCCCCCAAACCACTCAGCTCTTCCCAGCCATCCCTGCCTGGCAGTGCAGGGGACATTGCTGATGTCCTCCCTCCACAGCTGCATCTGGGGGAGGTGACACCCCCCGGCAGCCCCAGCACAGCACCCCCAGGAGAACGTCCTGCCCCACCTGCCGGGCACCTGCGGGCACCAGGGACACAGCCACACACGGTGGGTGACAAGGGTGACACGTCCTGGCACAGCTCTCACTGCTTGGGGGCTGGCTGGTGGGACAAGGAACAGCCTCAGCTCCCTGACGATGCCAGGGGACTGTGCCCACCCAGTGTGGCACAGGGGGTGATGGCACCGGGGCCGCCACTCAATGCACACCCCTGGGGACACTGAACCCTCATGGGGACACCAAACCCCCATGGGGACATCTAACCCCCTTCCTCCCTCAGCAGAGCATGGCCCTGGTGGCTCCTGTCCCCCAGGTCCCCACGCTGGAGCCGAGAAGCTGGAGCAACCTGGAATTTGGTACTTGGCAGCACCCCCTGCTGCCACCGTCTGCCTGGCACCCGTCCCCCTCGTGCCTTATGTGCCCTCCATGCTGTAAGGATGCCCAGGGCTGGGAGGGGGCTCATGGGGGTCAGCATCCCCAGGGGTGGAGGGAGAACCCAGAAGGGGCTGTCCCCACCCTAGGGATCCACTCTGGGGTGGCACTGCCACCAGCTCCTCTGGGGACAAGCCGTGTTCAGGGGGTGGTGCTGTGGGGTGGGCATGGAGGAGATGGGGAAGAGGGATGGAGAGAAGGTGGGATGGTGGCACAGCCCCCATCACTGAGCCCGTGTCCCTTCTTCTTCCCAGCTACTGCTCCCCAGCAGTTCCTACCTCAGCCCCAGCCATGGCCGGGGTCCCCCTCTCTGTCCACGCGGGTGCCCGGCGGGCAGAGTGTCCTCCCCGGCCCCAGGGCCACCAGCGCTGCCTGAGCCTGGAGCTGGAGGAGCTGGAGGAGCTGAACTGGTGCCTGGGCCGGGCTGTGGAGGCTGCCCAGAGCGCCAGGCTGAGCTCCAGCCGCCTCAGCCGGGCCCTGGCCGCAGAGCTGGGCCGGCCGCGGGGCCTGCGCGGCTCCTGCCTCTTCTGAGGGCCCTGCTGGCACCTCCAGGGCCTCTGTGACACCAGGAGAGGAGGATGGACCCCTCAGTGTCCCAGCACTGCGTGCTCCCTGCCAAACCTGGGGACAGAGGTGCCTCCAGACCTTCTGTGCCACAGGAGAGGAGAATGGGGCCCTCAATGTCCCAGCATGGCATGCCCCCTGTGAGACCTGGGGCCTGAGGTGCCTCCAGAGACTCCGTGCCACCAGGAGGGGAGGATGGGCCCCTCACCGTGTCCCTACACTGCATTCCCCCTGACAAACCTGGGACCAGCAGGGCTGGAGGTGCCTCCAGACCCTCTGTGCCACCAAAAGAGGAGGATGGACCCCTCATTGTCCCTGCACTGCATGCCCTCTGCCAAACCTGAGGCCAGAGGTGCCTCCAGGCCCTCCATGCCAACAGGAGAGGAGGATGGGCCCTTCATTGTCCCAGCATGGCATGCCCCCTGTGAGACCTGGGGCCTGAGGTGCCTCCAGACCCTCTGTGCCACCAGGAGAGGAGGATGGGCCCCTCATTTTCCCTCACTGTGTGTCCCCTGCCAAACCTGGGGCAGCAGGGCCGGAGGTACCTCAGAGGTTCCTGCCCTGGCTCCCATCCCTCTTCTGCCCTCCCTGCAGTCCCTGCATGGCCTGTCCGTCTGTCTGTCCATCTCCAGGACCCCCCAGGCTGCAGGAGTGGGGGGAAGGCATAGGCAGAAGTCTCCAGCATTCCTCAGCACCATCTCCTGGGAGCAGCAGGGTGTTCCCCCAGGGCCATGTCCACCCCACCCTGAGCACTTCTGGGGGCGCTCTGACCTCGTGTGGGTCGAGCCCCCTTGGCAGCTGTGTTTACCTCTGTGCCTGTGTGGGCAGAATTCCCTGGCATCCCCTGGCATTCCCTATTCCACCCTTTCCAGGCCTCCTCAGGGGGCTCTGCCCTGTGCCCTCTGCCCTTGGACTTGAACCCAGCAGGATCCTCCCTGGGGAAATTTATTTTTTTGTTGGTTTTTAAGTGAATTTTTTAGCTAAATCACTCTTTGGAGTGTTGATTGATGATCTATAATGTGTGTGTGTGATATATGTGTATCTATAAATGGATATATCTAGATATAGGCATATCTATATTTGGTTTTATGTCTATAGAGAGACAGATATAAATAGATCTGTGTATGTCCAGATCTGTATCTGATTCTATAGATATATCTTTCTACAGATACATATATATATATAAATATTCTGGTTTGCATTTCCAGCACAAACCTTAGGGCATTCTTGGGGTTTTTTTATGGTCATCCTTGGATGTGGCCACCCACAGCATCATCCAGACGGAAAATAAAATGAAGGATTTGAGGTTTCCCCCTGGGATCCTCAGGGAAGCTGGGCTGGTGGAGGAAAAATCACCTGAGACCAAAGCAGGTGTGGGGCTGTGGAGCCCCTGTTCCTCCCAGCTGGGTTTCTAAGGAGTTAATTCCTATTTTTTAGGGAAAAGGATGTGGTTGGGGCAGCTTTTCCAGGGATGGGTCCATCCAAACCCCCTCCTCCACCCCTCAGCCTGTGTTCATCTGTAGGACCTACCTGAAGTGCCAGTGTCAAATGTATTTATTTTTCTTTTATTTGTTGTACAAATTCCCACATTTGGAGGGAGGGATCAGTGAAGGACTCGGGTCTGGAGCCTTCCAAGCTCCCTCTGAGCCTGATCCTGACATGAGCCCAGAGAGGTTGAAAATAGGGCTGTACCTTCCTCCTTTTCTGGGCCAAGAGGGGTGGGTTTGGGGGATTTTAAAGAGGCTTGGGGGGTTTTAAAGAGGTTGGGGGACTTAAAAAGAGGTTTGAGGGATTTTAAAGAGGTTTGGGGGATTTAAAAGAGGTTTTATTGTCTCTGGTTGCCTCTGCTGGAAGCTGTGACTCCCCCAGCCCAGGCAGGGCGTGATAGGAAGATGTGGAAAGTGTGGTTAATTATTCCAAATGCAGTAGCCAGGACCAAATGTTCTTTTTTTTCCCCTTATCCCCTATTTTTTTAACGCCCAGCAGAGCCACTGGGATGGTATTTTGTACGAAGAAATCACCTATTTTTGAAGGAAATAAATGCAGTTGGATGACTCGTGTGCTTATTTTCCTTCCCAAAGCCACTCCTAGAGGGAGGTTTGGTATCACCACACCAGGAGCCCTCCCTTGGGGTTAGAAGGAATATTTTCCCATGCCTTTTCCCTGTTTTTCTGGCCCTGAGGGAGCAGCAGAGCACAGCCCCAGTTGCACTAGGGATGGAGATCGCTTTTATTTAGTCACTCGAGTGCTTTAGTACAGAAGAACAGATATACAGAGATGATACATGTTTGTGCTTCAACACTTTCAAACATTTAGATTCCAGTAATTTCAAGGTAAACAAGTTCCAAGACAGACTAGATTATTTTTTTTTAAAGTTTTCCTTTTTGATAAATTATTTTTTATATAAATAACTGTAACAGAAAAAATAATAATAATAATAATAATGTCCAACATACAAGATCCTGAAGCATTTGCATTGCTAAACCAAAGAGGAACAGAAACGGGCTGGGAGACCAAAGGGGAACCAACAAATATCAGTGCAATGATACAGCCTTTGCCCTAAAAATATATATTTAACTTTATGGGCAAGGAGCAGACGGGAAAGGAAGGGAAAAGGGGGGGGGCTAACCACCAACGAGGCAAGAAAGAGCAATTTTAGGGTAGGAAAAGGGGGCTCACAGCCTTCAGGGGGAAGAGAACAAAACCATAGACCCCAAAATATTGCAGTGCATCTAAAGGCAAGGGAACAGGGGGGCAATCCAGGGGCGTCAAATAAAAACCCAACTAAAATCAGAGGTTTGGGGAAATCACTATACACCAAGCTCGTAAGAACGTCACAAGACACAGTCATTAATATACACAGAGTCCAGAGGGTTTGGGGGGGGCCTTGGGAGTTTGGGGGGCCCCAGAGGGATTTTGGGGAGGACCCAGAGGAGTTTTAGGGAGGGCCCAGAGGGGTTTTGGGGGTCTCAGGGTGACGGCACGCTCAGAAACGCTTCACCACGGGACAACACGAGCGGAGCTGGGCACGGGCCCCGAGCTCCCATGGGAAGGGATGGATGGAGAGAGGTATCCATGGAGAGATAGCTCAGATATATATATATATATAAAATAGCTTTTTATTTTATATATATATATATTTTTGAAGGAATTCCCAGAGAGGGAGGCAGGGCTGCAGCAGGGCTGTGCAAGCAGACGGGCCCCAGCTCCAAGTTTTGACCAGTTTGGTCCCTTTTCACATGGGAATTACCACGCTGTGAAGAGTCCTGGCTGCACTCCCACACCACCTCCCTCCCAAAGTCCCACCCAGATGTTGCTGTGCACATCTGGCAGGAGCACCCACCGCCCCAAAAGCCATGGGACAGATGGTGGTGCCAGCCTGGTGCCCACCTGAGCAGCGGTTGGAGCGGAGTGGGGTGTCCGTCCATCTGTCCTCCCATCCACACAAGACCCCAATGAAGAGCATTCCCCCAAAAAAAAGTGTTTTTCTGTCATTTTCCCCACCATATTCACTAGCAATGGGCAGATGGTTACTCAGCAATGAGCTCCTGGGCGCTTCCCACAGCTGCAGCTACAAATATATAGATTTTTTTTTTTTCCTTTTTCTCTTAAACACAATGCATCCGTTTTCTTAATATATATATATATATATATTATTTTTTTTTTTGGCTGTTATCCCCTCCCTGTGGATAAAATGAGATGGGGGAGGCGCTGGGAGGGGAGAGGAGGGGATCAACACAAGAACAAGAGAGAAGCTGGGGCCCACAGGGTGCAGGGTGGCACCCGGGGCCGGGCGCCCGGCGGGGACGTGGGTCGGCATCGAGTGGTGACAGCGTTTCCTTTTAACTGCTGCTCTCTTCCTCTGTTTTATTGAGTTTCTTCAGCGTGTCCAGCAGTTTCTGTGGGGTGAGGATGTGCGTGGACCCTGTAGGAGCAGAGGAGAAGGGGTGCAAGGGGATCAGTGATGGTTTGGGAGCCCAGCCCGTCCCCGCTGTCCCGGGTCCCCCTTACCTGGCGGCGCCGGCCCCGCGCCGCTGGAAATGCTTGCGAGGAAATGCAGTCTATGGGGAGGGGGTGTGGGCTCTGGGGGCATGGAGAACGGGAAAAGGACCAGGAGGAGGGATGGAGGTGAGGGATGGAGCTGGCGGGATGAGGCAGGGGCCAGGAGGAGCCGGTGCAGGGGGGCTGTGGCACTGGGGTCACTGCAGGAGGCACTGCTGGGTGCAGGGGTGGAGTGCAGGGAACAGCCGGCATGGAGAGACCTTCCCCAGGCCCCCCAAGCTGCACGGAGCATCCTGGGGACACAGAGGTGGCCGGGAGGGTGGGATGGGACAAGGAAAACAAGGAAAACCCCCCTTGTTTGGGGGTCCCCCAGCACGGTGCCAGTGGAGGTCCCACCGTGCTGCCCACTCTGGCACCGCAGGGAGCAGCACACAGGGCATGCTGGGGTGGCACTCACTGGTGAAACCAGCAGGAGCTGAACCCCAGAGCAGGGTTTGGGGGTCTGCAACGCCACGAGGCTCCTGCCTATCCAACAGCAAACCTGAGCTGAGCAGGACTCCAGCCCCAGGGCACCCCAGAGCTGGGGGGTCCCAGCAGTGCCCAGCCCAGGGTGAGTGCTGGGGTCTGCACTGCTGCCCCTCTCCCCCAGCCCCACTCCAGCCGCTCCCAGAGCAGAATCTGGGAGCTCTGTCCCCTCCTCCGTGGGGCAGGCAGGACCCTGACCCCTCCCGCCCTGGTGCGGGGGAGCTCATGGCATGAAGGAGCTGGCCAGGGGACATGGCTGAGGGGTGATGGATGCTCTTCCACCTGGTCGGAGGAACCGCAAGCATTTTCTGATCAGAGAACCCAACAGACCCCACACCAAAAATGAAAAAAAAGAGGAATGGAAGAATCAAAGAAAACCCTTCGGGGAGGAAGAGTTTCTTTTTCATTAGTAAGCTGCCTTTACTTGGTTTCTTTGGCTC